GAGAGAGAGAGAGAGAGAGAGAGAGAGAGAGAGAGAGAGAGAGAGAGAGAGAGAGAGAGAGCAATGAAAGAAACTGCAAGGCATGACTGGAGAACGGGCAACAGGTGTGTCGGACAAACCATGCATCTGAGTGCAACAACAATGGAAGCAACGGAACCAGCAAAACGGTTGCACGACTCGCAGCACACTTTCCCAGATGCAATTCAAAATTCACAATCATAAACAACTGGATGGAGACTGCAAAAATTGAGGCGTGTATCCAGTTTCCTGACGTAAATAATGCGAGTGTCGATTTCCACACATCAGGCAACAGCTCCAATTGCTTGCAATCTTAAACGCTTAAGATTGGTGGACAATCAAGACCATCAGCCCAGTGGGACCGCCTACGGCCCCAATCAATCTTTCCAGAAGTACCTGGCCGATCTGGGCCTTCCGCTGCCCAGATGTGCGGTCCATCGCAAACTTCTGAAAAAAACAACACCCGACATCAGGGCCGTTGCACCATCAGACAGTCCAGATACACATCCGATAAAAAAACTTTGTGACAGCACATTTTGAAAGGCCTTCCACGGTTCAGACCCCAAATTCGAGTTTCAGGGTCAGAGGCCCTGGCCAAGAAAGGCCGAGTCAGTCAGTTTCAGAAAAGTCCCAGTCGGGTACCTTAGCACTGTTAGCAGTCAAGTCCAACAGGCACCTGGCAAACAGTCACATCTTAGGGGCAAAATCATGTCTCACAATGAAAAGTCAGGTTGGAAAGTCGCATCCCACGAGCAAAGGACACTTCCATAAGCAAGAGTCATGTCCCAGAGGCAGGAGTCACAGTCCACAGTCAAAACCATGTGTCATAATCGAAAAGTCGTGACTCAAAGGCCCAAGCAGCAGCACACCAAAGAAATTCCGGGAAGGTTCCAGGCCCTGACATTCGAAAGCAGACAGGCCGTGGGGATGTGGTACCTGAACCCAAGTCAACCCCCAAGAAGCAGAGGCTGGCACGAGCTGAAACTCGATCCAAGACAATATAAGGACTGGCCAGCCTCCTCATGAGGCAGATAGCTCATTCGCATGAAGTGTGGAAGTGCTGGGGCACTTGTGCACTATTGTGAGGGCCAGAGTGCTGCGCTGAGAGAGGGAGAGAGAGGAAGAAACGGCACTGGCAGGAAGAAGGCACCCATAGCTGCGCCAGTGCAAAGTGTTAGCAGTTTAGTAGTAGAATTCAGAGGGGTTAGTAGGTATAGCAGTGGGTGTATTCAGAGTTGGTCCTTGAGTAGTAGAGAGAGTGTGCATGCAGATAGGGGAAAGGATACAGGGAGGAAGAAGACAGAGAGAAGACCAAGAGAGAGAGAGAAGAGAGAAGAGCTTCGGCAGAGAAACATCCCTGAGTGAAGATACTGGATACCTGGGTTTGTGCTGTTGAGCGCCTGTGACTGAAACTCTTAACTGTTTATATGATAATTTGTTGGAATTCTAAAGCTGCGTTACCTGGTCTTCGTCTCTCTGGCCTCCCAAGTGAACTTCGTGTGATCTCATACATGCATGCAGTGTGATTGCGTGTGCTCACTGGTGTGGAACTGAGAGGTTCGTTGCAATTTGTACCACCAAGGCTCAGTCTGTAACGATCAGTCTCAGAGATGCTTTTCAGAAGCCATGTGCCCAAAGTAACGAAGCTGATGAGCTTGATGGTCCATTTGTCAGCAACTTACCATTGATTTTGTTTTCCAGCTGTCCAAACTAACATAGCTGATGAGCTTGATGAGGAGAGGTGAAGAAGACGAGAAAGAAGAAGGAAAAGACGAAGACGAAGACGAAGACGAAGACGAAGACGACGAGGACGGCGACGACGACGACGACGACGAAGAAGAAGAAGAAGAAGAAGAAGAAGAAGAAGAAGAAGAAGAAGAAGTAGAAGAAGGAGAAGAAGGAGAAGGAGAAGAAGAAGCAGAAGGAGAAGCAGAAGGAGAAGAAGAAGAAGAAGAAGAAGAAGAAGAAGAAGAAGAAGAAGAAGAAAGAAGAAAGAAGAAGAAGAAGAAAGAAGGAAGAAGAAGAGGAAGAAGAAGAAGAAGAAGAAGAAGAAGAAGAAGAAGAAGAATGAACCAGAATCAAAGTCCGAATCCCACTTCTACTGCCCGCACAACTTGAGGTCCACCATAGCCATGGCCGCCTCCCTCTTCTTTCTTCCTCCAGGCCGAGGCTATGGCGGACTACTGCAGGCCTTGCCCTGACGTGCAAACGACAATGCAAAGCAGCGTCTCCTCCTCTCAGGCTGCCATGCCTGACTCTGCCTCCAACCTTCTTGGTGCAGCTCTGCCCCAACGTGGGCCTTCCAGACGCAGCGCCCACCAAGGTGATGAAGATGGCGTCCACCATAGCCAGGTAAGTACCCCTGGCGCTCCGCTCTCCCAGTCCCTTCCTCTTCCTCCTCCTACCCGAGATCCTCCACTATAGCCAAGGTGGAGAGCTGGGTGCTCCTTCTTCCCCAGCAGCACAGCACACAAGCACTGCTCCACTACGCACTCCAGCAGCGTGTCGCCCAAACTTGTATGCAGAAAAATGAGGAGGAGCTCTTTGCTCCTCCTGGAGATATAGCGGCCAACTTGCCTCTTGGGCGGTGACTTCCAGGCCGCGCGGCCTCCAAGCAACCGGTACCTCCTCCCTTTCGGACGGCAACATCATTGCAGACTCTGATATCGCCCGTACAGGCCCCAGACTCAGACTACAAGGACTGGTACCCACCTAGACCTAGCCTGCAACTAACGGGCCTCTAAAAATGCCAACTTTTGTCTTCTCCTGCTCGGCCTCCAGTCCCCGACACATCTACTGCTATTTGAGTGGTACCGCCTACCTACTACTTGAGTGTTTTTTCCCTGCTGCTCTAAGTGTCGCGGGCCTACTCCCGCCAATAGAGTGTTTTCCCCGCTGCAACCCTCAAAGTCTCGGCCACAGGTAAGTACCGGCCCTGCGTGGCCTTCCAACGAACAAGTGCGCTTGTGGGTCGCACACACACTCAGGCTGACAAGCACTCAGACAGGCACGCAGACTAGCAAGCACGCACACACACAGACTTAAAAAACTCAGCAGAAAGCGGGAACCTCAGCAAGGCATTCATTTCTAGCGGCAAAACTCAGAAATCAGCCATGTTTGGGCAGGTCCTTACAAAGAAGAAGAAGAAGAAGGTGGTGGTTACCAGTAGCATACCTCCCGTGTGTAGAATTTAACCGCAAACCCCCGTGGGTCACGAATAGTTTCAGGAGATCCCCTTTCATGAATAACTGTTGAAAATCGCACAATAACAGGTGTGGTAACTCCAGGCGCTCGCAAAAAATCAGCACAGGTAAGGTGAGAAACATTGTGTGTCACTTCAAAAAAGCCTTTTGCACTCGCTCCTCGTGCATGGACTACCCTCTCAGGAATCCTCTCGCGATCAAACTGGGCAATTTTCTCAACTAATTGATAGTCTTCAAGAAGAATGGGTCCTGTAAAAAGACGGCCCATGGGTCACAGCAGAATAGCTGAAAGACAGGTAAGGAAATCATCTAAAGACCAAAAGGGAAGCAACATATGAGATTTGACTTTGTTCTAGATAAACAAATTTCCCCATGTAAGCTTTCCTCCCCCTCTGATTCGAGAGTTCGCCTGCAGTTTGTGGCCCC